AAAAAAAAAAAAACAAATTAGTGTAGAGCATTCTGGGTTTTTTGCTCCGTTTGACATCAAAAGACTTTAATCTTCAAGCTAAAACAGGAAGCAAAACTGCCTATATTCTACTATTTCCATGAGCCCAACGGGAATTGTGCACTACAGGAAAAAACAGACTGAAGAGCAATAACGAAGAAATTCTACGCGCAAAATGCCGCACCTGCGCCGGGGCGTTTATGGATCAACAGGAAATCTCTGATTCATCGCAACAGTGGAAAACGTTAAGAAAGCTTACTCATTTTATAAAAAGTCTTCCGCATGTCCGTAACGCAGAAGCCACCTCGATTTTTTTGTTACTCTTGTTCTTGCCCTGTTATATAACATCACACCCCATCTCTTTAAAAGGTCCTAGAGGCTATAATAATTAACCACATGACAATTTAACCGTATTTAGTTGAAAATACTCAAGTTTGAAGTCTTCGGACCGGCAGTACGAACTTAATACATTGCTCTCAAATTATATACAAATACTTAATGAGAGTAGTTAAAAAACAGCTACTAATATCACTGCAAAAACCGATACGAGGTAGAATAGCGAACTGCCGCACTTAAAGGCATTTTTTTAACTGTGAACAGATATAAGGTAAGGCTAAATGCGTAAAAAAATAGAAGCATATTGCAGATTTGACAGCTAACACGGAAGACAGACAGTATTTACGGACATGCAGAATGTTACATAATAATCTCCACCATAAAAAGAAGACATTGTAATGTGGTAGAAAATTAAACGACTTTCTACCGTTACCTAATGACTCATTGTTTATTTTGTCAATAATTCATCCTCACAGGCGAATAATGCAAAAAGGTAAGAATATTTGGAAAAAATTCATCTTTCATCACTTTTGAACAGCCAATGGTAAAAACTCATCAATACTCTTTTACCTTTAGACATAGTAAATTCGTTTGGTGAACGAACTTAGGCCCTTTTCTCGAAGAACTTACAGCAGAACCAAGAATACCGACACTAGTAAAGCCCAAGCTTACTTAAACTTTTTGAAGGAAAACGGAATAACATTATCAAATTTTTCTAAACGCATTTAAATACAGTTTTAGTGTTTATACCTCCCGCAGTGAGACACAGTTAGAAACTGCTCTTTTTTTTCTCACATAACTGTTTTAGAATGTGCAAAAGTACTGAGTAACACACGCTAGCAAAACGAATTTCCATTCCCAAGAATATGCTTTGAGATATCCGAGAGAAAACTGAGGTTCACAAAAAGTGTTATAAAGTTTCTTTCTACCTGATCTCCTTCAGCTGCCCTTTTCGTATAAATTAATTCATAAGCTCAGTGGAGAAAAAGTGCCAAAATGGTGTCAAAAAAACAAAGCTTGGCTTAAGATGACAGTTAAATTTTACTTGTGTGCAATTGAGGACTGTGAAAATATATGCGAACACTCTTGTTGTTTCGTCAATAGCCATCAGAAATCCGAAAATCCAGGTAACGCCGAGAAGGCACAACAAAGTAGCGGAACCTTTTAGCCAACCAAAAATGCGCTCTATACGATTGCGATCTCGGCTTTTGATTGACAAGACCACTTTAAATGCGATAGCAAGAAATACAATATTAATCTAAAAACAGCGGCCTTAAAAGTGTATAAGGGAACGAATAAGAAAACAATGCCATGACTAATTTTTTTTGAGTTCCTTGATAGCGGCAAAAATTAATAGATATGAAAAAAATTACTAAAAAAATCATCATTTTTTAGATAAAAAGAAAAACTAGTAACATACAGTGACTACCACTAGAACAGGTCCAGCAAATGCCCAAATAACAGGTGTCTTGACGTTCAACCAGCAACTGTAAATTTTTGCAGGAGAGTTATTACAGCATGTTGTAATCAAGCCTACTTTCTGAACCTCGTTTTCTTGTTTTCGAATAAGCAGAAACCACAAATAAAAGAGTAAAGTGTGTTTATTTGCATATCGCTTGAAAGTTTTCATAAACATTCAACAAATAATTTCTGGCTGGAAATATAACTTACTAATTTGAAGTTCCATAATTTTCCCATGCTACTCCAGCGCTAACTGCTACAATTATCGCAGGAAATCCATAAGACCACAAATAGCAAAGCAGCAGTTTCACATTGTCCGGCTCAAAAACCTGAAATTGAATAAATAGAAAAGAGGCATAAATGTTGAGTATAATTGAAGAATATAATGACAATATCGCTTTACCTGAATTAGCATTAGATAAAGTTGATATCCTTCCAGAAGCATCCAGCAGAAGGCACATAAAAAAATGTAATGCAGAATTACAGCGATTGCTGAACAAAGGCCCTTGTTAAATGTGCGATCAATACCAACCACAAACACAAGCTCAGCTACCAGAAGACAAATGCAAAGATTCCGATGTATCATGTTTCTGACATTCCACAACGATCTAAAATATGTTTTGTTGTATTCAGCCGTTGCAGATGCTAACAGATTATTCAAAAATTCTAAATTTTAATCCGTTCACTATTAAAAGCTTCCATTAACTCCACAAACTTATCCAGCAATAACGCCCTTAATTTTGAAAAGCGTTATCAACTACATTAAAAAGTACCAGTACAAGAGAAATACCTTGTAGAGTAAATGAAAAGAAGAAAAAGGTAGGTATAAAGAACATTGTTTCTTCAGCAAACCTTTGACAATAACCGCAATAGATTTTCTTGCCTCTTGAAGTTGTGAATAACTTAGACTTTTACCGTTTAAAAATCCAATACAAGAACTTTTATGAAAATTTTGATAAACTTAGATATGAAGTTGTTACGTTTAACACTCTTAAAGTGAAAAAAAATTTTTTTTTTTCAAGAAACACTGTGAGCTACAATAAAGACTATACGCAGAGGAATTTTAACCATAGTTCTCTAAACAAATTCCATCAAGCAAAATTCCCTTGCAAGTAGGTAAAAATGAAAAGGCCTGTAAATTATCAGTGAAAGAATTGCAGACCAGAAAAAAAAGACTCTGAGAGTTTTATCAAAAAGTGTGTATTTACAGCAAAGATGTACAATTGCTGTATACTTAATGCTGTTTTACCTGAAAAATGTGAAAACCAGAATGCAGAAGATCAGACATATAATAGATAACACACATCCAGTACTCGATACAATGTCTAGTACTTCAGCAGACACCTCGTCAAGTGAACCCTCAAGATTTCCTGTGATATCCATAAGGATAGCAAAACTGAAAAGACCTTTCAACGGTTACGATGTACATATAAGCTATACCACTCCAAACCTAACAAAGTAATATTCGGACTGGACAAAATTCTTTGAAGCTAACCTAGTGAGATGAGTGCACGAGCAATTTGTGCTATCTTTTGATGTCGCCACCAAAGTACACCCATCTTGGCTCCATGAGCTAAAAATATGTATTGTTTTGAAAACCAAAAAAAAATTTACAACTATAAAAAAAGTAGGATTTAAAATTTACTTAAAAAAAACAGAAGAAGTGTCAAAAGAAAAAGTGTAAAGTAGCACAGATCTGAACAAATACAATTAAGGTGTATATTGAAATGTAATTGCAAAAAAGATATAAGTTCTCCGCCTACTTTGTCTGTGTTTCCCAATAAACGCATCTAGGATTACTGACTCCAACTTTTTTTATGTGATAGAAGACAAACGAAACGGGATTGTCCGACGGTAACTGTACACTTTTTGTTGGATCATTAACGCTGGCTCCTTAAATAAAGGACAACAGGATAATAGTAGGAAACGTAGTGAGTCCAAAAATTTCTCCGAAAATTATGAACATTTCTTGCTATAGATCGGGGCTACAAAAATTGAAAACTATTTTTTGCATAACGCGGTCTCTAAGTTCTTATAAAATTTGCAAAGAAAAGAACATCCTAAATAATTCTGGTACAAGCGTTAACGAGATATATTACTTAGAGCCATTTAGACAGTTTTTTGCTATCGTAAGTTGTAAAATGTTTGAATATTAAAGTCGTTGATCAATATAGACATCAAAAAAGAATTAGAGTACAAAAGAGCTGAGAGAGTTTTGTTCTGGTTCTTACTACAACAACATCATCATCAATAACTACTGCAATTTTTTCTTTGCCTAAATAGGTGCTCTTTGTTTCATTATCTAAAAAGTAGATCTTTTTTTTGTTGTTATCATATATTTGCTTAATTTACTATAATTTTAATGACTAGTATTTCAACTACCAAGTTTTTAGTCATAAAAGTTGAAGTAAGACTACAGTATAATAACAATTCGCCCTTTTACCGCTACATACGCATTACTCAAGCAGTAGTTCAATGAACAATTTGATAAAGTTGAGCAGCGATGTTACTTGTATTAACTCAGTTACTTTTTCAGATTTATCCCAAAGATACTTTGCACAAACTGTGTTGATAATTTCATAAAAGTTTTATGACTACAGCAGACAGAATGTAAATGGCAAAAGCGTACCAGAATAATTCTTCAGAAGGTTACACTGACCAAGTTTTTTCTCTGTCAATTTTCGCATTTAGACGATAAACTTAAATAAAATTTAGAAAAAAAGCGCTGTTTATACAGTTAACTTCAGTTAAATGAAAGTATTTAAAAGTAATGTGTCTGTTATGCTCAAATTGTTTTCTATTAATTCCTCATTTAAAAGAAATATTTCAACAAAATTTTAAGCAGAAGCACTCTCGTGACAGCAAAAAAAGAAAAATTTAAAAAATTCTGCCATTTTTCAAATTACCTGAAGTTGCAAAAGAAAAAATTTGAAGAAAGTTTGGTTAAACCAAAATAAGTCGTACTAAATAAAAAGAAACAAATGTCTTAAATCAAAACTGCAACTGGAGAGCAGCCAAAGTGACTGTCAAACGATTTCAGCACTTACTTCAATGAATAGGTAAAGATGAATATTCTTCATATAAAACATGATGTTTTACTCCATTTATTCCAAGTCAATCACAAATATTTCTTTTATTTTTAAAGAAAGATCAATTTCAGTTAAAGTTATCCACCAGGGCGCTGCACTATTACTATACTTGATGAAGTGTTACTTTGATATTCATATGATACATGCCGTTCATAAGAAAAGAAAAATTACCCATGATTAAACTGTTGACAATAGTGCGTGAATTTGGACTTAAAAGGGGACCAAGTGAGTTGAATAGGAAATAGCCAAACCTGACCGAAGTAGGCTCTGGCATTGCGCTTGCAAAACGCATTATTGGCTGGAAATCAGACTATGAACGTGGAAACTTGTGGAGACGATAAAATATGCAACAGACAGATAAGTTGGTGGAAAATTTTAAATATTTTCACAGTGTGCCACAACTATTTTATTCTGTTTGTTTTCAGCTTCATTTTATTCTCGTTAAATCTCTAATTACTACAGGACTGACACAGTCATTTAACTTTCAAGTTATTAGGGAATTCTTCACACTAAAATTTTCCACTATTACCCAAAAAAATTCCCTTGTTATAAATGAAAAATCTTATTGGTTTAACCAAATGTTAAAAGAACATTTTTCTACAAAAAAAAAAAAAAA